TTAATACTACTTTCAGCCAGCTGTAGCTTTTGCAGAGTGAAGATTAGAGAAATGGGTGGTGAGGCTTTGTTTTCCAGCTTACCGTTCCATCAAACTTTGCTCCATTTTTGTGAAATCTTCTTCTGAATTCTTCTGCAGGAGTGCCCATCTCTTGGGTCACTTGTAACTCCTACTTGTTAACCCCACTACCTCCACTCATTACATGAGACAGTAGTAAAGTGAAGGTCAGCAGGAAGAACCAAAGCTGCAGGTGACCCAGGAGACTGAAGTGATTTTGGATTTCTAGTAGACTTTGGGTAGACCATCTTACAGCGTCAGAGTAGAGTTCAGCAATACAAGCAACTGGGTGTGTTTTACAGGTATATCTTTGTTGGGTATGCTTTGTATATAGACTGGATCTCTTTACCATTACACAATACTCTGCTTATACTTTGCATGATTTCCTGCATTGGGCCTCTGTACATGTTCCAAACACTCTTCTCATCACTTTGCAGAGCACTTAGGCCTTGAAGCTACAAGCTCTAATGTTCCGTCTGTTAGTGAATCTAGCCTGGGAATGGTATCTCAGCTTTGTGTTTCCTGAAGGAAGCCTTCAGCATCTTTTGATCATAAAAAGCAGAAAATTGCACCTGTAGCTTTACCTCCTCCCTTCAGGCACTGAGCTTCAAGGTCAGTCCAGAAGTGCTTTACACTCAGGAAAATTGTTCCTGAAGGAGACCTTTACAGAAAATATAAGAGACCTAAAACACCATATGTAGAAATATTAGTTCAAAGCAATCTGTTTATATGCATAAGAGAAGAGACTTCCTACTAAAACTGTCATTCTGACCATCTTGAATATTTGTAATCAACGACCTTGAAGTAAAAGTGGCTCTAAACCTTGATGGTACTCTCACATCTAAATGACAGGGCACACCACCAGCCATTAATTTATGTTGGAAATGCTTGAGGAGTAAAAGAACTACATACTTTTTTTTTTTTTTTTTTTTTTTTTTTTAAGATTTGGGTCACGTGACTTTTCTTCTTTTTCTTTTTTACTGCATCATGTCCTGGCCTGGACTAGGCCAAAGTGGACCATAGTGACATAGTCAGATAGAGGATTGCCTCCACAGTAAGCTCGTATTTAGACAGGGCTTATTTACATAGGAGAAGGGGACCATGCATAGTGTGGTGGCAACAGTGCAGAGGGTCTGTGAGCCCGCAGAATATTGCTGCCACCTCCAACAAGGAGCTATTGCTGACTGCCAGGTTTGACAATATATATATTATTATTATTATTTATTTTTTTTAGGTAATTTTTATTAACCAGATTTTCAAGAACAAACATAAGTTACAAATAACTGTTGTTTTTTTTTTTTTTTTTGCACGAATAAAATAGTAAATTTCACATACCTTACACACAAGTAGTTTATTTTAAAGATATTAGACTCCAGACTTTGCTCTGGAAAAAAAATGAAAAATCAACATCTACAAATACTGCAGACACTGAGTTTTATCAAACATACACTTGTCTGTCTAGGGATCCAATGTTGGGCTCACCTGGGATGGTCCTTCGCTGGTCTTCAGTTTCCTGGCCCTGCCATCTTGGATGTGGGAAGCTGACTGTGGCTTCACAGAGCTGTACATGCACGAGGTGCACTGCACTTTTGTGAATGAACCCCCGTAGTCTTTTGGGACTTGTGACGTGTTCCACAATGTTGCAGACGGGGGAGTGATCTGAGTGGAAGTGGGATCGTACCCGCTCATCCCACTAACAATTAATGTAGGGTCCGTTTAGGAAAAACCTCTTTCAAATTAAGAAATGTATTTGTGTCATTGTAGATGTCATTAAACCGTCAAGTACCATTCAGTTGGATGCCAGTACCGATGCCAAGGATACATGGACAAAAATAGCCACAACAGCCGCGGCATCTCCTCGGGTTCTCCACGGAACTCACATCAACAACGTTCAAATCACAGAAATTGAGTCCAATAAGCAAGTCTACGCACTTAGTAGGTACCACCACAGGTTCAGACTTTTTCAGAAGGGTTAAGTCTATTGACCCATGGCGACCAATCAGCAGCCATCTTTCATTGATTTGATTGTATTGAAATCCTGTTGCTGTGGGTTTCTTTGCGCTTGCTTTCTGCTTCTTTATTGAGTTTGCAAGTTCATTGGGTGCCATAAATGGCATTGGTGGGTTTTCCGGCACAATTTTTTTTTTTTTTCGTAGTTTTCAGTTGGAAAATAGCTGTATGTAAACACCAAATCCAGTTCTTAGTATGTTTGCATCATTTCTTACTGTATACAGTTTTCTTAATAGAGTAGCTTTTTTGGTATCAGATTCTTTATCCTGCCAGCAACAGTACTTCCTTTTGCATGATGACAACACTACCCACAATTACCAGTAGGGGTTGGTGAGCGGCACCTTTTTTTCGTCTTTTTGATAATTTTCCTATAAGCTTATGAGTGCATTTAACATATTTCTTTTGTGTTATTTACCTGTAAAAACCTCCCTTGTGTAGACATACAAAAGCCCTGTGACTGCTGCTAGGCAGCTCCATCTTGAATGTGATGTCAGCAGACTCGGAGCTGTCACTAAAGTGATACTTTGGGTAGGTTTATTAAAACTGGAGCTCTCAATCTGCAGCTGGTGCATGGTCAGCTTCTGACTTCAGCTTGTTGAATTAAGTTTTGGCAATAGAACCTGGAAGCTGATTGGTTTCTATGCAGATTTGCACCAGATTTTGCACTCTTCAGTTTTAGTAAATGAACCCCTTTGTAGTGTTCCCCTGCACTCCTCTTCCTCCAGCAAATACATAAAAGATTTTGTAAGAAGGTGAAGGGGATCAGAGGCAGGTCCTCTTTGGAATACTTCACTCTTTGATATGAACTTGAGGAGGGGGGAGAGTGAGGCCTATATGTCCAATGGTCTCACCCCTTGTTGATGGATTTTACTGGTGCCACACCCCTTAACAAGACACTGGAAAACGCATGGACCCTAATTGAAAGAAGCTTATGGGGCTTTTAAAGGCACCAAACCAAAATTGAATCAATACTCAAAATTCATAGGATTAAAGCTTTATTGAACAATATTAAAACCACAGTTGTGGTAAAAAAAATTGAGCATTCACATAGTTCATATTAAGACATGTATAGCTGGTACATAGTAACAGGCGTATTACAGAACATTGCAGAAAATATCCCTAAATAACATAACTAGCATAGTTGACATAAATACTTAACCTCCCTGGCGGTATTCCCGAGTGTAGCTCGCGGTAAAGTTTTAGTACCACAAGCGGTAACCCCGAGCTACACTCGGGCTTACCATGCGGCGCTGCTCCGCGATCCTCGATCTCTTATTTTGTCCTGCGCTCCTGCGATGTCCCTCCTGCAGTGTCCCCGGCAATGTAATCCGGCGGATGCCGGCATCTGTCATCTGGGTTCCGTCCTCTGCGAGCTTCGGGACGTACGGGGGACGGAGCGGCGGGAAATTTTGAATATGACAAAAAGGGACATTCACTAAAATCACATAGTAAAACATTACTGTATCAAACCATTTCACATACATTTTGTCCCGAGTGCTTTGTCCTGTGTCCTGCCTGCATTTTTACTGTTCTTTCTGCCTGGAAACTGAGAAACGTCCATGGCGTCCAAAAAGCGTCCCTTTAGGTCAAAAGCAGTTTTAGACCGGCTAGAGAACAGCGATAGTAAATCAGAACCACTTGCAGAATTGAGTGATGATTCGTGGGGAAATTTGTCATCAGACTCTGAAACCGATTCTGCGACTTTGCTCAGTGATGTGCGAACTTGGAGCTTTTTTTCAAATGTTAGTGTTTTTGGTTTGATTATATTATTGAATTAAATTTATTATTATTATATTAATATTTTTTTATGATTATTTATTAAATTATAATTTAGGATTTCGTGTTTCAAGTTTTATCCTATTTGGGATGTTTACTAGACTCTTGTTTGGACAAATTTCAGTGAGTTATTCCTAAGAATTACAGGCCTACAATATAAAACGCCAAATTTCCATGCAAAATAATGGTACCGCTTTCAGCACCAAAAATTGTAAATAATTAAACCGCCAGGGAGGTTAAAGATCTTGCATCAATCTTTCTCCGGCGCGTTTTGCAGGACAATAGCCCGCTTCCTCAGGGTGATATAACATACAACTCTAAAATTATATAAACAAAGCCAGAACAAACATACAACATATCAGAAAAATGTCAGGGAAAGATAACATCTGTAGCAATCAAGTATTCAAATTTTCCAAATGATGGCATAAAGAAGCTCATAGATGGCCACAAGGAGCCATGACCATTTGAATTCAAAAAAGGTTCCTCCATCAAGGGTGCAGAGATGGGCCAGGTGGACAAACCACAAGCTAAGAAATCAAATCATCTGAATAATCACTGTGTCCCAGATCCATTCAAACTACACCCCTACTCCCCAAACTGATTTCAACACAAACAAATTAGTAATTTGGGAGAACAGGGAAGTATTCTATGCATAGACCTCATCTAAGTACATGTTAGAATTAACCCATTCCAAGACTAATCTACTCTGGGTAATGCACATCTGCAGTTGGCGTAGTAATTCTCTTTCTGGTATGGTGCCTTCTAAAAGCCCCTTTAGCTTCTTTCAGTTAGCGTCCATGTGTTTTTCACTCTGATACATAAAGCCAGTGTTTGGTAATAAAAATGTTTGTCTCTATTATCTTCCAGATACATCAGGCAGTGAGGTGCTTGGTTCCCTCTCCTTTCTGGATGTGAACACTTTCCTCCTGTGCGGTCTGAGCGGGAGACTGATACTTGTTGATGTCCGACAAATCGGGATTGCCAATGAAGGAAGTTTGGCCTTCTCTGCCCCTTGTAACAGCCATTGGATTGCAGCAGTAAAACCAGGACATCAGGACATTGCCAGGCTTTCCTCTGAGGGCCACATCACCATCACAGACTCCCGGGACCTCAGGGTGCCTTTGAAATGTGCAAGAGGAAGAATTTCTGAGCCACCTATGCAGGAGACCTTTCTATGCATCAACTGGGCACCAGGGCTGGATAATTGCATCTCCATATCGGGTATTAGAGAGTTTGTTGTGTGAACTAAACTTGTGTCTTTTTCTCTGTGGGGCCTCTATGTAAATGTTATCCACTTTATTGTGGGCGATATTGATTCAGGCTGTCAAAACCCTGGGTAGTGCCAAAGCTTGCCCCACCCCTTCCTGCCTCCTGCACATTCCTATTAGCCAGAGAGGCCGATTATCATCGTGATGAGCCAATAGCATTGTTTGGAGGTGAGACTTAGGAGGGTTTTAGGAGGCATTGGGATGTTGCTGAAGGTTTGTTCACCTCTTAGGTGTCTGCAGTTTAGAACTACAGCTGTTTCCCCCCCTTCTTCTCAGTGGTCATTCCTGATTTTAAAGTGATAATAAACCTTCAGTTTTGAAGTAGTTTCAGCAGCTGATTTAATCATATATTGAGTATGAAGCTTCTTAAGAGAACTTCGGGATCCTAAAAATACAAACATACATACTCGCCTAGATGGCTGCAGCATTTATCCAAGCTGCAGCTGTCCCCCTCCGGCTCTACACTGAGAACTAAGTGATCAAAGTCAGCCGAACACTCAGTTCTTGGGTCTGCTTTGAGCACAGAGCATTGACTGGCAGTCACTGCTCTGTGCTCTGCTACACCAGTGCTCACTGAAGCATTGGACTGTGAAGTGGGCAGGAGCTACTAGCTCAGGCTTTCAGAGGCTGATTCAGTTGCTGATCCGGTATCTGGTATGTCAGGTGTATCCTGACATTATTGTCGGGATCCCTACAGAGTTTGGACTGTTGCTTTAGCCCACTATTGGCTGAATCTGGATTAAAGGAGGAGTATGACCAAAGCTCTTTTGGCCATACTTCTTCTGTGAGGCAATGGGAGTGCACCTAGTTCTGTACTCCTACAGGAAAATTATGGCTAAAAGAGATTAGGCCATACTTCTCCTTTTAAGCCTTTCCTATGTTCCAATTTTAGGTGGTTGTAAAGTCAAAACATTTGTTTGTTTTTTTTATTATATTATTATTGTTATAAAATACATTAGACATATATTTATTACATTACTAACACAAATCATCAATCTTCATAACAAATTTTGTTAACGTTCCCTCCGCCCCCACTACCCTTATTCTCCCATCCCAATCTCTTCTTATTCCACAAATGCTCTTTAGTTATAATAACTTCTCTTCTCCATATTCTTCCCTCTCCTTATCCTCTTAACCCTCTTATTCCCTCTTGCTGCGAAAGTGTGATTTATATAGGTTTTTTTTTATCCATTTCATCATTTTAGGTTCAACTCCCAATATTTCTGAAGTACTTATCATAAATCCCCACTCTACCCTGTCAAACGCTTTTTCTGCCACTGGTGACTTTTCCTTCCTACTTTTTTGCAGGAGGGGTAATGAGCTCAGACCATTTTCCTTTCCTTCTCTTCCTATTACAAATCCCACTTGATCAAGATGTACCCAGTCTGGCATTAGATCTTTCATCCTACTATCAATGCCCTTCGCGTATAATTTCGTATCTGTATTTAATAATGATATTGGGCTATAACTGGTGCACTGAGATAAATCTTTTCCTTCTTTAGGTACTATCGTAATGTGTGCTAATAATAACTCCTTCCTCATTTCCATACCTGTTCCTAATGCATTCATATATTCACACATTTTAGGCACTAAATGTTCTTTAAATTTCTTATAATATGTTACCGTAGATCCATCCAGTCCCGGGCTTTTCCCTGCTGCTGTACTCTTTATTGCTGCTAGTATTTCCTCTTGTAATATTGGATTTTCTAACATTGTCAGTCTTTCCTCCTCTAGTCTGGGTAATCCAGCTGTTTTTAAATATGTCTGAATTTTTTTGTTTCTTGTTATTAACCGCATACAGCGAACTATAGTATTTTTATTTCTAATCTTTTCTATGTAGTTTACTGATTTCTTTTCCTTAACATTTTTGCTAAGTGTTTTCCTGGTCTATTGCCCCATATATACCTTTCCTTTGCCACCATATTGAAACCCCTTCCTGTCTCCTCCTCCATTAGGTCATTCAACTCTTCTCTTTTTAGTATTCTCTTATATTGTACTTCTATTTCTGTTCTTGTTTATATAATGCTTTTGTTAATGTTCTCATCTTTTCTGTCCGTTTCTTCTTCTTTTTTTTTTTTTCTGCTCCTATTGCAATCAGTATACCCCTTTTTTTGGGCTTCCCATGTCGTGGCCACTGAAACATCTTCGGTTTCGTTCAGTTGAAATACTGTTCTATTTCTTTTTTTATTTTTCCTTCTACTTCCTGATCTTGCAAATAACATATCATTTTCCAAGTGTTCAGATTTTTTGAATCTCCTTCAATTTTCAACTTCATTGTGACCAGTGCATGGTCTGAAAGAGATGTAATTTTAATCAATGACTCCAATAATCTGTATTCTATCAATATATAGTCCAGTTTGGAGTACGTCACATGTGCAGAGGAGTAAAACGTATAATCCCTTTCCCCTGGGTGCTTAATCCTCCATACATCTATCAGTTGACATTGATGTAATCTCGTTTTCAATGGTATTAAAATATTTCCTACCCTCTCACTGCACCCGGGATGAAGTATCCAACTGGAGATCCATGCGAAGATTGAATTTCCCTGCCACAATCCGTTTTTTTCTTTCTTAAAATCCATCAATTTCCTTACCATGCCCTCTAGATAGCCCATAGCATTCTTATTTGGACAGTAAATATTTGCTAGCGTATATTTCATCCCGTTTAATCCTCCATTAAGAAACCGATACCAACCATATGGGTCAACCAACCTGTCTTTTATTGTAAATCTTACATCTTTTGCCATCCTAATCGCTACCCCTTTAACTTGTTTTGTAGATGAGTCTTGTATTAAACCAGGTTGGGTAATATCTCTTGATTATAACTTGATTCTTGTGTCATGAGATATGTCTCTTGTAGGAATACCACATCAATAGAGCATTGCCATGTTTTTTTTTAGTAATCTTTATGTCCTTTACGTTATAGGTCATTACATTAATTACATTCTTTTCTAGCATCCTTTGTATCAATTCCTCCTTGCATTTGAATCATATAGAAGAAGGGTATTCTATAACGGTATTAGGGCTCTGTGACATTTTTGAAATAACCATTTCTCTTTTTTCCCGCCTCCTCGACCCTGTCCCCCTCCTGCCTCCCTCCCCAACTCCCGCCAAATTCACATGGTTCTTAACCAACCCTTGGATCTGTTGTGGTTCTATCCCCACCCTTGATCCCTCTTATTGGGGTTCAACGCCTCCCACTGCCTTTCTTCTTCCTTCTTGGGGAGTGAGTTTCTGAGCATATTGGACCTCTCCGACATTTATTAATCTTCCTTCTCGTACCTGTTACAATACACAATAACCCCGCCCATCTCATCTCTCCCCCCCCCCTCCTGGAGTCCTCCTCAGGTTAAATACCCAATAATAACAATCCAACTGGAGAAAGAGGGGGAAAAAAAGGGGGAGGGGGGGAAGGGAGGCGGAGGAGAGAAGAATGGGGAGGCAAGACAAGGTGGGAGAGGAGGGAAGTAAAGGAAAAAACATGGAAACCAAGTCCATTGTATAAATATAATAGGAAAGGAGGATTGTAGGATTTAGTCTCCAATGTGGTCTTAACTCCCTCCTTCAACACTTTTCCCTATGATTTTCTTCTAAATTGTTCTAACTTTTTCCTTTCCTACTTGATTCATCTCTGTTGTATTCCTTTTTTTTTCCTTGGGATGGAATGCCATCTCTGCCTTTCCAGACCCCCTTCCTCCCTCCTCCCCTCTGTCCAACCCAGGATGTCAGATACTTGGAAATCCAGTTTCTCACAGAAATCCTGTAATCTTCTGGGAATCTCAAACTAGCTGAATGTCCATCTTTCCATCCAATTGGGCATGCAGGGAATCCCCACTTATAGCAGATATTTTTTGTTTGCATCTGTTCCAGCAATGGTCTTAACATTCTTCTTCTCGACAATGTTTTAGGTGATATATATTTTGCAGCTTCACTTCTCCAAATGCTATAGCTGGCATCCCTTTCATTCTCTCCTAGATTCATATTTTATCCTCATAGTAGTGAAAGTGTACTATTATGTCCCTTGGTGGTCCTGTAGTCACTCTTGGAGGGCTCTTTATCCTATGGACTGTTGATAGACAATGGTATGGACCATTGATAGACAGACCTATAACAAACAACTGAAAATTGATAAAGACTTTATTCATTACATCTCTCAAATATTTTCCTTGGGGTCCTTCCGGTAGCCCCCAAATCCTCAGATTGTTCCTTCTATTTCTGTTCTCCTGATCTTCTATCTATAAGACAGTCTCCTCTGTTCGAGTCGTATATCCTTCAGTTGGCTTTTCAGCTCTGTTATTATCTGGCCCTGCTTATCCAGTTTTCCTTCTGATTCTTCAATCCAGGACAACACCAGCTCCAGATCCTTGTGTATTATTTCCATATATTTTTTAAGGAAAGTTCTAATTTTGCGAACATATCTACTATTTATTTATTTTTTGTGGGCATCAACATTCCTGCTCCTCGTTCTCCCGAGTTCATTGTTTCCAATTCACTTTCCCTATTTAGCGATTCCTTACCTTGATTTTAATCAGTTGTCTCTATTGATAAATTGGATTGGTCTCTGATATTTGTCGTCTTCCTATCCCCCTGAAGAGGAGGATCTGGCTGCTCTGTGCACAACTGTTACACAGAGCAGATACATATGACATGTTTGTCATTTTATTTGAAAAAAATAAATGAAGCTTTACAATCCCTTTAAACTGGTGCCATAAATGCTGCCCGGGCTTTCCGGTTTCAGTGTGGCTCTATTTTCCTGCAGCATCCTATGGAGCCATATCAGGGGCGGACTGACCATTTGGAAACTCGGGCACTGCCTGGGGGTCAGTAGGGGGCCCCATGAGATGCCCCTGGTACCTTTTTCATAGGCTTTTTTGAGTTTGGGCAAGGACACAGGGGCCCCATGATCCCCTATTGCCCGGGGGCCCCATGAGTTGTCAGTCCACCGCTGAGCCATACAAGCATGCAGGAACTCCTTAGTGCTTCGAAAGAAACACACAGCCCCATACCCAAGGATAGTCCCCTGCTCCTCCCTCCTGCAAGCTAGCAGACTGACTCAAGACCGCACTGTCCACAATTAACCCTTTCCTGAGAAGACTGCAAACTTGGGAAAGCTGCAGTGAGAGAACAGGAGCCAGTAGCATTGTAAACTGCAAGTGCTGGAGTAAGAATTTAACGGCTTGATAGAAAAGGTTTCTGTGCACGCTAAAAAAAAAGCTGAGGGTTTAATACTACTTGATAGAGCAGGAAATAGTGAGCAATTTTGTAACATGCAAACTCCAGGCAGGTGGTGCCGGGGCTGGGATTTGAACAAGCGAACCTAGTACTGCCAGGTGGAAATGCTAACCATTTAGCCACTATGCTTATGCAATTGCTCATGCATTATTGAACATCTTCCAAACTATGTAATCTTTCTCTCTTCCTCCTGCTGCAGGCTCTGATGGAACCATACAGATCTATGACACAGAATCCTGGGATGGGATGTGAAAGAAAGAGATGCGCTGTTGTTTACTCACAGAGGCCACGCTGTCATGGGGGTGTGCGAGGACGGACGCGTTGTCCCCGGGTTACCTGTCACACCTGGCACCCCTGGAAAGAAAGGACTCTCATATCGGCAGCAAATGATGGTTCTTTACATATGTGGGACTGGCTGGACAGCTGTACTGGACTCTGATAATAAAACCACTATAAGATTGAATGCCTACAAATGTTTAATTATACCATTTATGTCACATAGTAATCTAGTGGAAGGAAAAAAAAAGCAATAGTCCATCCAGTTCAACCATTTAAAAAAGTAGTAACAAAGAAAATGTTACGGTTTTTGTCTGGAATTTCTAAAAAAAAAAAAAAATAGCAGTGTACTTTTTGGTATGCGAGTGTGCCCTAAGCAGTCCTGTACCCACAGCCTCATAGCTGTATATCTGCAATATGGAAGATTTAAATCACTGCAGGCTCTGACTGTTAAGGAAATTTGTTGATTTCACTACTATGCTGGTCACTGCTCTCCTTGCTGGAGGCTTTGGTGTGAGGAAGCAAAGCCCTGCCTCTATCAAGATAGCCGCCTCCATCTATTGAAACCATGCAGAACAAGTCCCTGTTAATATGGAAAGTCTCATCTGCAAGGAGACATCAGAATTATTATTATTAGTATACAGGATTTATATAGCACCAACAGTTTGCTCAGCGCTTTACACAATACAATGGGAGACAATACAGCAACAATACAGTTCAATACAAGAGGGATTAGGAGGGCCCTGATCCTCGGAGCTTACAATCAGAATAATAGACAACAAAAAGTGTACACTTTTGTGGGACTTGATATGAACCCTACTGAGGCAGTGTGGCATTTTTTGTACAGACTCCCCCATGAAAGCCTCTCAGAACGATGGTGAGTTGTTGGGACAATGTCCATCTGGCCTGGGAGACCTAATAGCAAGAAGGCCACATATCCATGGCTGCAAAGCAGATACCCAGCCATTGTTTTTAACCAATAGCACGCCCGAGCGAATAGCTGTTTGGCGGCCGGAAAAATACATTAGATTTCCGCGGGTGGATGCCATATGGCGTTACTCCCGGGCTTGTGCGCTTGCAGAGCAGCGCAGCAGTCCCTCGCAGCCCGCGCGATCTGTTCTGTCACCGGCCGTTGTTTACCTCGGACACCGGCCGATGACAGATCTGAGTACCGGCCCCCATTGCCCTCGGTTACCATGTGACCAATCACAGCAGGGGTCACATGACAGTTGTAAATTACAATGGATGGCTTCATTCATAGATTGTATGTCTAGCTGTGAATGGTTACAGCGATCACATGGCACATGTCATGTGATTAGCTGTGGCCAAATCACAGCTAAGCACAAAAAAAAAAACCCCTGATATGGATGATTCGATGTCATTCAGGTAACTGATTGCTTGCTTATATCAAAAAGTAATTCTTTGCTATAAGCAAATTGTGTGTGTAAGAAAAAAAAAAAAAAAAAAAAAAAAAAAAAAAAAAATCTGATCACTTCCCCAAAAGTAGTACAATGTTACTATGGTAACATTGTACTACTTTGGTCATAGTGAAATATGAAAAAAAATACTCTTAAAAAAAATAAAAAATAAAAAAATCTAAAATTAATATAAATTATAAAACTTTTTTTTTTTTTTTTTTTTTTTTTTAATATATATATATATTTTTTTTTTTTTCATAGTGTCCCTGATCACCGCCATGCATCCATATGTTATATGAGGATGATGCTTGTGTACTGCCACTGGTGACAGTATGTAAAAAAAAAAAAAAAAAAAAGAATCATCATTTTTTTAATTTTCCGAAAAATTATGACAAAAAATAAACTTAAAAAAAACTCGCCATGCCTCTTATTGAAGTACGTTCGGACTGTCTACTTTGCAAAAAAAGGGGTCATTTGGATTAGGTTGGATATCTGTACTGTTCTGACATTCTTGGGACCTCATAGAGAATTAGATTGGCTCGTCAGTACTTCAGGATTGATCAATATTCAGATCTATACCATAGTTTGTGAAAACTCTATAACTTTCCTACAAACTAAAATAATACATCCTAATTTTGGGTATATTATTTTCACCAAAGACATTGTAGCAGAATACATTTCGGCCTAAAATTTTATGAAGAACAATTATTTATTTGCAAACTTTTACAACAGAAACAAAGAAAATACGTGGGGTTTTTTTTTTTCAAAATTTTCTGTATTTTTTTGTTAATTTAGCAAAAAAAATAAAAACCCCAACGGTGATTAAATACCACCAAAAAAAAATAAAAGCTCTAGTTGTGTGAAGAAAATGATTAAAATTTTTTAGTTTGAATGACAATTGTACGGTCATTACAACATTGTACCCAAAGTGTGAGAGTGCTGAAACCTGAAAAATGACCTGGGCAGGAAGGAGGTAAAATTGCCCGGTATAGAAATGGTTAAGTGATAGCATGTGTCCTGGACAATGTGTTAGCCATTTTTAATCATTGCGGTATTTCCTTAGGGATGGCTTTTGTGCTATGTCTGCAGATTGTGACTCAGCGATGTGGACCTTTCTAAGACACATCTTAATTCTCAGTGTCACGTCCCCACAAGATTCTCAGGCAACAAAGGAAAATAAAGCAAATATATATATATATTTAAAAAATAGAATGGTGGTTTTAGTCTGTGTGTTTCTGTACGAGGTTTCCTTCATGTACCACAGCATCCTTGCAATGCTTCGGTCTCTTAAACTGGATCTCAGCTACACAGGTGGCTTTCCTTCACGATGCTGTGCCAAATACCGAAAGTTACTGCTATATCCATGCTTGATCACAGGATAATTTTAAAGTGTACCCTAACAGAGCCTTTTCTTTCTATTTTTGATGGAGGGGTGAGAAATTAGAATCCCCTGTCCAGTTTAGCGATTTTTGGGGAGGATGGGTGGAGGAATCTGTTAGATTTATCAGTGTATTGCCAGCATAGAGCTTAGACGGGAATTATCTGCTCTCATTTACAGCAACCTGTCTACTTGGGCACTCCCAAAACATAGATTTTAAAAAAGTTTTTTTTGCCATTTTCCTGCTCTTATCCAAAATAAGAAAAAAAAGTTTTAGTTGTAGAAGATTAAACATAAAATAAATAATCGTGGATAAACCCTATAAAGAGCAGTATGGCTTCAAGGAGAACCTGTTGCTTTTCACTCTGCACGAAAGTGTAAAGCAGAGGTTCACTTCAATTTTAACCACTTCCCGTCTGGCCCATGTAGAAAAACGGCCAGCAAGATGGTGGCATATTCAGGGGCAGGTTTGCTGTTCATCAAACGGCGCCTGCCATTTTGGACTGTGCGCGCTCGCCCTGGGAGCGCGCCGCAACCGCGATCCAGTGCCTGCTGTGTCCTCCCGACACAGCAGACACCGTTCGACTGACCGATCGCTGTGGTACAGGACCTCTGTGTGAGGTCGCCGGATACATGTGATCACTGATTGGCCAATCAATCACAGTGATAAACATGAATTAGGTTGAGTAAGCAAGATGAGTCAATTCTTGACATCATTGCTGTACTAACTGTGTGTGTAATCTGTGAATGATCACAGAGATCACATGGGTACAAGGGGCTATTCACAACAGCCTTTTTTGTTGTGTACCATGTGAACCAGCTATGACTAATGATCACAGCTCACACAATATTTCTCAATGGATGCAAAGAATGCAGCCAGAGATAGGGAGAGGAAATTCTTGCTTTTGCTTTTTACAGCCTTTATGGGTGTGTAAAAGCAATCAGTGTAAAAAAAAAAAAAAAAAAAGAAATCATCACCCCCAAAAGTAGTACAGTGTCACTATGGTGACACTGTACTGCCAGGGTGACAGTATGTATAAAAAAAAAAACAATATAAAGAATGTAAAAAAAAAAAAATTTTGAAAAGTTATCATTTTTGGTTCTAATCTGTATTTGGGTTATTTTTTTTTTTACTAAAACGATAACTGAATACAGTTTGGCCAGCTTATGCAGAAAGATTATTTATTTGCAAAACTTTATAAGAAAAAACACCGCGCTTTTTAAATTTTTTTGACTATTTCATTTTATTTTAGTAATAAAAAAAAATAAAAATCCCAGTGGTGAATAAAATACCACCAATAATTAAAGTTTTATCTGTCTCAAAATATGCTAAAAAAATTTCATATGGGTACAGTGTTGCATGATAGACCCGCGCAATTATCATTCAAAATATGACAGCGTTGAAAGCTGAAAATTGGCCTGGACAGGAAGGGGGGGGAAAGTGTCCGTCGGATTGCAAAAGTAGGTTAATCCACTAACTCCTAAAGCTAACTTTTCAGGCTTCAGATATATACATTGCAGTAACACTCAGAGCCATGCGCTATAGTGCACGTTGTTGGCAAAAATAAAAAAAAAAAAATGCTTTGGGTGTATCTTCCCTGCAAATGTCCAGCCTGAGGCTCGTCGTCGGGCCACAATTTTTTTTCTTGTCCATTTTTCGGTGGATTGTTTGTGGTTTTTTAATCTCCTGTTCAAAGGCTTACCTTACCAGTTTGTTCTTCAGTGAACCACCATTGGTGGTTATATTTGTTTATTACCAGGTATTTTTATAGGGTGCTTGACATAATTTTATGTGACCAGATCTGACCAGATCCATATGAGGTCCCCTAGGATTTCTGTTTTGAAATGCGCATTTGGATTGCGTATCTGGTGAGTGCGCAATCTTTATACCTTTTATCACCGCATCCACGAATATCCAGCTATTGGAGTTCTTTTGAAGACTCTCTTGGGCTCTCTTGGGTTTTGATCACGTTATGGACTATACTCTCATTATTTATAGTCAACTTTTTGCACACTTTATCATGCAACCTTAACATTGGGTTTATTTGAATGTGTATTTATTAAATTTAGCGCTTGCACCCCCCCCCCCTTTTATGCATTCCAATTTATGAAGCATCCTTTCACATCAGTCCCTGTCCTCAACAGTTTTACAGCAGGGGTAGGCAATCTTATACGAGGCGGCGGTCTACCTGAACACCATGGGAGAAGTCCAAGATCTTCGGCACAGTGTCACCCTCCTCACACCTGATTTTAAACCCTTAATTGCTGTACTGCCGTCTCACAATCGCTTGCATTGCAATGGCCAATCGTGTTCTGGGTTTTTAAATCAAGTGGTGGGGAGGCCTCAATCACTTGGATGAGTCGTGC